TATTAAAGGCTTAGCGGCTTAGCTGCTAAAAGGCTATTAGCGGCTTAGCGGCTTAGAAAAAGGGGGGAAAGCGGGGAAAAAATCGCAAGACTAGCAAGACGTTTCGTCTTGCGAAGCAAGCCCATAGGGAAATTCGTCTTGCGAAGCAACTCAAAAATGGAAAACCCTTTCGTCTAGCGGGTTTTCCGTCTTGCGAAGCATTCGTCTTGCGGGGCACCACTGTATTTAATTCGTTCCGGAGGTCCGTTCTTAACCTGAAACTATTCTTAACCTGAAGCACCACTTTAGCTAATGGTGCCTCCTGCTGCTGCCGCACTGTCGGAGTCAGATTTCTGTTCTTATCCTGAAGCAAAGTTCTTAACCTGAAGCACTATTTCTGGGTTAGCGGAGTGTGTAACTTGAAGCGTATGTAACCTGAAGCGTATGTAACCCGAGGAACCACTGTACCGGGTAGAAGGCTGAAAAAACAACTTCCAGCAAAGGAAGGAACAATCAAATAACGTATATTGAGCATTTGACTATTTGGAAGAAATATTGCATACAACAACTGACAGATGGCTAGCTGGAAGTCTTTTCTTTTCCCCTCTATTTTTCTCTCCCTTGGTAGTTGTTTGTTGTCGTAGTAGTAGTAGTTGTTTGTTGTTGTCTCTCATATTTTGGTAAGAACTGTATACAGATGAAGGAGAAGGAGTCTGAGGACCCCGTGTGAGAGGCGGGTAAGGGGAGATCTCACAGGGTGGGAGGCTGTGACAAGAGAGGGACGAGCTCAGGGGAGAGCACACCTTCCTCTGTAGGGGATGAAAGTCAAGATATATGGGTTAAAGAGGATTCTGTAGTTTCTTTTTCCATTTCTTCTTTCCTCGGTTTATTTTCTTTAACTTTTTGTAGATTGGTTTGTTCTTTCTAATTGTACTGTGGAAACTTCAATAATAAAAGAAAGTGAAGTATTATCAGGGTTCAGAGATACATTCCAGCGAGAGGGAAAGCATTTGCCGAGTGTGCAAACGGGTGCGTGACAGGTCCATGGAGAGTCACGAGCAGGAATCGGCAAAGTTTTTGTGGCTTGGGCCGGTTCACGGTCCCGCAGACGCTGTGGTGAGCCGGAGTGCGCGCGCACGCATGCGCAAACACTATTTCCTGTGCTCCTTCCAGCGTGGAGGAGGCATATGCAGCTTCCCATTGGCTGCAGGAGCTTCCTGCAGCCAATGGGAAGCCGGCCAGCATCGCGGAAGGCAGTCCCTGCTCTACTCCGCACCGGTTTAGCCCGGCGCACAAGAGCCGACTGAGTGGACGGTGGAGGTCCATGGGCTGGTTAAACGACCCCTGTGGGCCGCTTGTGGCCCATGGGCCTTAGGTTGCCAACCCCTGGTCATGAGGGCCAGGCTGAAAGGGCTCGAGGGCCACATTTTGGTCCCTGAACTTGAGGTGCCACATCCGTGGTGTGAGCTGAGCTATCAGTAGATTGGGGGAGAGTGTAAGCCTAATTGATGTTTCTGGTTGATCATTGTTCCCTCAACGATTCTGGGTATCCCAAGCCAGATTTATTTATTTTTTAATTTGTATTTTGGCCTGAACCGATTTCCCCCTCTTCCCTTTCCTCCAGCAGTGACAACTTGTCCCCTTTGGGAATCAGCTCGCAACTCCTCACATCTGGTTTTGCTATAAGATTTCCCAAGAACGAACCACTCAAAAAAAGTATCGGGAAAGACACATCCAGCATCATGAGGACTAAGGTTGGGGTGCTTTGACTGCCACCCCGTTCTCTTCCCACTGTTTGTTTTATCTTTAAAAGAAGAAAGACGATCGCTCTGGTTGTTTCCACAACCGTCCCACTGCTGAACTTTATATCCCGGAGGCCAAAGCAAACAAACTGGTCTAGGAGATGCCCCAAGCATTATGGAAACATTTCGAGTATGTACACATTTACATAGCAAACAGAGCCTAGAGACCGAAGGGAGCCCTGCCATTCAAAGTACCATTTCTAGAAGCTAAACATACCTTTCGAATGCTCTTATTTCCTGTTTCTACTCAGCTACGCCACTCAGCACCGGAACTGCTTTGCATTAATAAGTGTGACAGCGCACACCTAACATTTTATTAGGCACACCACATCAGGTGAGCATTCCTGAGTCGGGATACCTTTGGGGGGGGGCACATACCTGTGCAGCTTTTTTAAAAGTCCCATGGAAGGTAAAACGGCTCATTTGAAACTATAGCACAATAATACAAGCAGAAGAAAGGATAAGTAGGAGATCTCGAGGTTGTCTCGAACCAAGTTCTGCTCATAGTACACCCAGTGAAATTCCTGGACGTAAGTTAGTCATCTGCTTAAACAGAAATTAGTCATGTTCATTAACTTTGGTCCCATCTGTACAACACACTTGAAGCGGTGTCACAGCACTTCAAATTTAGTTTGTCAAAGGTGCTGAGAGTTAGGAGACTCCTTTTCCCCTCAAGGAGCTACAATCCCCAGAGTTTCCTGGGAAGAGGGACAGACTGTTAAACCCCTCAGAGTTACAGCTCTGTGAGGAGAATCGGGGTCTCCTAGCCACCCTCATCACCCATAACAAACCACAGTTCCCAGGACTAGAGGAAGCCATGACCGTTTCAAGTAGCATGATACTGCTTTAAATGTTTAGTGCGGATGGGGTCTGGACTAGCATTGGATATAACCCCAACTTCTGAAAGCAACACCTTACAAATATGGGAATACTTCAATAGACACTGTTGACATTTTTTGAACTCTTCTAGTCCGCTAAACGGATGCCAATGACAACTCTATCAGCAAAGCGTGGGACTCTTAATCTCAGGGTTGCGAGTTCGAGGCACGGCTTGGGCAAAAGAGGCCTGCATTGCAGGGGGTTGGACTAAATGACCCACATGATCCCTTCCAACTCCAGAATTTTGTGATTCTATTATTCTAGGACGTTTGTTTGTTTGTTTGTTTGTTTGTTTAACTGCCACTGTAATATACCAGTCTTTTATTTAAGCACTGGCCCAATAGCCATAAGCGTGGATTGTTTATTTGCTGTATTTTTCAGTCGCCTCATGCAATGAGCCTCTAGCCTTCCACAAGGCATACATGATGGGCTTCCACGGCACATTTCCCTTTAAGACCACCTTCTTTACACAGATTATCATGGAACATCGGTACTATTTTCATGTCTAGCACCCTACTCTCCTGAAAGCATTTTCAACAGCATACCAGCACAAAGCCAATCCAAACATTCAGACAGGCATGTAGGACAGCCCTCCAACCAACGGGAAATGAAATACTGTGGTACCTCGGGTTACGTGCGCTTCAGGTTACATACGCTTCAGGTTACAGACTCCGTTAACCCAGAAATAGTACCTCGGGTTAAGAACTTTGCTTCAGGATGAGAACAGAAATCGTGCGGCGGCGGCACAGCGGCAGCAGGAGGCCCCGTTAGTTAAAGTGGTGCTTCAGGTTAAGAACAGTTTCAGGTTAAGAACAGACCTCCAGAATGAATTAAGTTCTTAAACCGAGGTACCACTGTAAAAATATAAATAATGTACTTCTTTGAGAGGGGCAGGGGCAGCTCCTTGTCTTTAACCTCACACCCCCAGATGGGCATGTCAATCCACACCTAAAGATGTGCCCAGAAAATTTGGTGGGATCCCAATGACCATTATGGGGTGGAGATATAGGAGCATCAGTTGCACAAGGTGTTCCAAACCAAGGCTATGCAGACACCGTACCTTTAAAGCACAATCGGAGCCCACGCTTTCCCTTAAAGGATTCTGGGCCCTGTAGTTTACCCCTCGCAGAGTTGCAGTTCCCAGCAGCCCTTTGCGAACTACAGTGCCCAGAATTCTTCGAGGGAAAGAATGTGTTTCAAAGATATAGTGTGAGTCACTTCCTAGTTCCTACATTACCACCTCAGCTGGCACTGGGGAAACAGGAAGGGCATTAAGGTTAGCAAGTCCAGAGTCTAAATTAAAAGTTGGACCTCAGTGAGAAAGGATTCCCTTTCCATTCAACCTGCACACCTAGAACAGATGTAAAGCAAAGAGCGAACTTTTGTTGCATGCAACAGGAACGGAAAACACTGAAAAGCAAAAGATGACTCGCTTGTACCAAGCCGGTGGGCGTAGTACAAAATGTTCCACAGCGAAGGGGAGGCAGGCACCATGGCAAAACAAGGCTCACTCTCACCTGCCATTAAACTCTTGGCCATTTTTAATCAGCTGCGGACCAAAAGTGACACATATGCCCTCTTTGTGGGGAAATCATACTGGTGACAAAAAACCAACCACCCCCCTATAAGCTCTGCACGCTGCAGCCCTGAGCAGAAAAGCCCAAGGTGCGGTGGGAAGACAAAAGCATCAACAGAACACCAAACCCCACTTGCAAAACATTTCCCCCCCCTTCTCCCCCTCAGAGAGAGAGAGAGAGGAAGGAAGTTTCCCTGAGTTGGGGAGCCGGCAAGTAGTCATAGAGGGAGGAAATCCTTGCAGAGCAGACGGAGAAGGGGGGGTGGGGGCGATGCGACAAGGGGAGGAGTTGAGCTTCCTGGGTGTGAGTTTGTCAAGTTTGCAGAGGAAAAGAGCTGTGGGGAAGGGAGGCACGGGGGAAGAACTGAAGCGGGTGTGGAAGGGGAGCGACTCCGGATCCTACTCCGCGTTGCTGGATCTGCAGAGCAACTGCTCCCCCAAAAGAGAGCTTCGACTGACTCTTTGTCCTTGTGCATACCACCCTTTTAAATAATCAATAATAATAAATAATAAGAAGAAGAAGCTACGCCTGCTTTCCCACAACGGCAGCTAGCTCCCTCCTCTTTCCGCCTCTCCTATGCAGTTGGAAGGGGTCCCCCGCGGTCATCTAGTCCAACCCCGGCAAGGCAGGAATCTTCCCCCCCCCCAACTTTTCCCAAAGTGCGGCCAAAATGACAGAAGTCCCCTCCAGATGCAAGAGCCTCACCCGGGCCCGGCTAATTCCACCCCGCCCTTCCCACCCTCGTCGCCCCCGGAGGACTCACCCAGCCAGGCGGCGAACTTCTCCCAGCCTTTTCGGAGAAGGAGAGGAAACGTACAAGGCTGCGGCTGCCGAGTCTCCGCCCGGCCACTGCGCCTGCGCGCCCCTCCCAGGACGGGCTCCGAGGCGGCGCTCGCGTGGGATCATGGGAGGCGTAGTCCGCCATTGATTGGGGCTGTAGTCCGGAAGCCTCTCGCTCGAGGGATGGAGCGGGAGCGGAGAATCGCGGGTGTGACGCCGCCGCCCTATCTTCCGTTGCACACACAGACCTGGGATTCCCCCAAAGAAGGAGTAATAGAATTGTAGAGTTGGAAGGGACCAAAGGGGTCATCTAGTCCAACCCCCTGCGATGCAGGAATCTTTTGCCCAGCGTGGGGCTCGAACTCGCGACCCTGACATTAAGGGTCTCACGCTCCGCCGAATGAATTACCCTCAGCATTCCACTTCTGAGAGCCATTAATATAATTATAATATAATATAATATAATATTTGCCTGCTTGCTTGCTCCATTAAAAATAAACCACTAAAGCGGATTCATAAAATAATTTATATACAGTGGTACCTTGGGTTACATACGCTTCAGGTTACATACGCATCAGGTTACAGACTCCGCTAACCCAGAAAAAGTGCTTCAGGTTAAGAACCTTGCTTCAGGATAAGAACAGAAATCGGGCTCCGGCGGTGCAGTGGCAGCAGGAGGCCCCATTAGCTAAAGTGGTGCTTCAGGTTAAGAACGGACCTCCGGAGCGAATTAAGTACTTAACCTGAGGTACCTCTGTACAGTGGACGTTCGGGTTGTGAACGTGATTCATGCGGGATGCACGTTTGCAACCTGCAACGTTCGCAACCTGCAGCTACGTGTCTGCGCACACAGGTTGCAATTCGGCGCTTCTGCGCATGCGCAAAGTAACCTGTTCTGGTGTTTCCAGGTTTCGGCGGTCTGTAACCCGAAAAAACACAACCTGAAGCTTCTGTAACCCGAGGTATGACTGTACTTAATGATAATAATACTGACATTTTGTCTGCAAATTTTGAGTGCCTGTATTGTTATTTTTAAAATAAATTGTTTCATGAAATTGATTAGAGGGGGGTGCATTCTTCACCAACACTGGGAAGGTGTTGGTGTAACCTGGTCAATTCAAAATAAATAGCAGCAGCAACAACAACAACGTCGTCAACCAATATATGTAAAAAACGCACAATCCATGGCGTTTGTATAAAACAATACAAATAAAACAATTTAACAGCTTAAAACTAGATGGGAGAGAAAATACTGCCTAATGCAGAAATAAAAAAGTAGTATGCAAAACATCAACATGCTCCAGATGATGTCCTGTATTTTTTGCGCTATAAGACTCACTTTTTCCCTCCTAAAAAGTAAGGGGAAATGTGTGTGCGTCTTATGGAGCGAATGCAGGCTGCGCAGCTATCCCAGAAGCCAGAACAGCAAGAGGGATTGCTGCTTTCACTGCGCAGCGATCCCTCTTGCTGTTCTGGCTTCTGAGATTCAGAATATTTTTTTTCTTGTTTTCCTCCTCCAAAAACTAGGTGCGTCTTGTGGTTTGGTGCGTCTTATAGAGCGAAAAATACGGTATCTTATTTCTAGTAAATTGGATCCAAGACTCAACCTTCAAGCATCCATGTCTCACCCAGGGTACTGCAGACACTCCCATTCCAGTTCTTACCCAGAGAGGCCTTATGGACACTTATCATGGGCACTGACTCCACCCAGAGGCCAGTAATTTCTTTTCCACATTCTCCCACCAATTCATCCAGGCTGGGGGTGGGGGTGTAAACAAAGGTTTTTTGAGTGGCAGGGATGGGGGGGTAGGACCCTTGCCCTTGTAACCTACAAAGCTGTGACTTTTACAGCCCTTTCTCCGAATTAAAGTTCATAGAATCAGAATTGTGGAGTTGGAAGGGAGACCATGCAAGTCATCTAGTCCCAACTCCTGCAATGCAGGAAACTTACCTAACCTAGAGCTCAAACTCATGAGCCTGACATTAAGTGTCTCATGCTCTACTGACTATCTGAGCTGACATAAGGGGAACAGGGAAGAAACATACATTTCAACATGCATGTTTCTTAGAGAAAAATAAATAGTTTCTAATGATCAAGTGGGCTTTAGATATTGGGAAAACCATTAACTTAACAGCATGGGGAGAAGAACTATGGAGAAAGAACTGGAAATTCACAGCCTGTGAAGTATTGAGGAAAAACCCAATCAAGATGTTTTATAGATGGTACTTAAGGTAAAGGTAAAGGTACCCCTGCCCGTACGGGCCAGTCTTGACAGACTCTAGGATTGTGCGCCCATCTCAAGAGGCCGGGGGCCAGCGCTGTCCGGAGACACTTCCGGGTCACGTGGCCAGTGTGACAAGCTGCATCTGGCGAGACAGCGCAGCACACGGAACGCCGTTTACCTTAAACTGTGCCAACAAAAAAGGAATGGCAAGATAAACTGTTAGAATATAATGAACTGGCTAGATTAACAGAGGCAATTAGAGATCACACTAGACAAGAGTTTCAAAAAGCATGGGGGAAATGCAGAGAATACTTCACAAAACAGTGCCCTAAAATACATACCTGGACTTGTTTCGATTAATGTCTGCAGGAGACTTTGTGGATATTTAAGTTATAATTAGAAAAATCTTAATAATTATTCATAAAGGACACAGTTTATAAGAAGTAAATAAGGAGGCCAGAAACAGGATAAAGGAACTCTTTTATTTGGTTGTTTGTATTGTTGTATGTTATGTTCACGTTTGATGTGTATTGGGGTGTGTGGGTTGTGTTATGTTGTAAATAAAATTCCAATAAAAAATTAAAAGAAAGAAAAGAAAAGAAAAAAAATAGTTTCAGCTTAGTACTCATAAGGTAAAGGGTAAAGGGGCCCCTGACCATAAGGTCCAGTCATGGCCGATTCCGGGGTTGCGGCGCTCATCTCGCTTTATTGGCCGAGGGAGCCAGCGTACAACTTCCGGGTCATGTGGCCAGCATGACTAATCCACTTCTGGCGAACCAGAGCAGCGCACGGAAACGCCGTTTACCTTCCCGCCAGAGCGGTACCTATTTATCTACTTGCACTTTGAGGTGCTTTCGAACTGCTAGGTTGGCAGGAGCACGGATCGAGCAATGGGAGCTCACCCCGTCGCGGGGATTCAAACCGCCGACCTTCTGATCGGCAAGTCCTAGGCTCTGTGGTTTAACCCATAGTGCCACCCGCATCCCTTAGTACTCATACTATGCTCTAAAAAGAAGCAAGCCATCATCCCCCCGCCTTTGCTTAGCCTTTCAAGTTAGAAACAGAAATTTTGGAACTCGTGTAGCAAAGCCATAAAGCAGCACCTTCGACTTAACAGTCAGAAATGCCTCTGCCACTGAATGCCACTGAAATGCCAGGTCTTCTGTATCCATCCAGAGCACTGCCAACTTCAGTTCACACCACCACCACCCACGATAGTGGACAAAAACAGGATAATCATTTTTACTACCTCTCTCAAACCAGGTTCAGTTTTGAGCAACCACTCACCTTAGCACATGAATCAATCTGTTTATAGCGGTGGCAGGACAAGAGAGAGTTTGCCCAGAGATGGAAGGCCTTTGATATCATTTGCCATCAAAGCACAGGATGATCAGGAAGGCACACCTGAAAGACTTGTTCAAGGATGCATAAAGGAAATGATTCGGTCCCGAACTGATGTTCTACTAAGAACTGTATAATGCAGGAGAGAGTCTATTACATTTTTGATAGAGAATGGTGCCCAGAATAAGCAGAAGCACCACATGGGAAACAGAGTTCTGCATACCTAGGTGGTCCATTGCCAAGACAGCAGGGCACAACCTATTTTGCCATAGGTATTAACATGGGGTAGAAAAACCTTAATAACTTTCAAACTGCTGATCAGAACTTCATCAGGCCAATGAAAAGGTCAGGTCGACTACAAGCCTGAATAAAATGCACCAGTGGTTTCCCCCCCCCCCAAATTGTAAATAAATAAATGATAAAGGTAAAAATGGTAAATTACCCCTGACAGGTAAATCCAGTTGCAGATGACTCTGGGGTTGCAGCGCTTTACAGGCTGAGAGAGCCGGCGTTTGTCCGCAGACAGTTTTTTTGGGTTATGTGGCCAGCATGACTAAGCCGCTTCTGGCGCAGCGGAACACCAAAACCAGAGCAGCGCACGGAAACGCCGTTTACCTTCCTGCCAGAGCACTACCTATTTATCTACTTGCACCTTTTTTTTTTTTTGGCATGCTTTTGAACTGCTAGGTTGGCAGGAGGTGGGACAGAGCAATGGGAGCTCACCCCATTGCAGGGATTTGAACCGCCGACCTTCAGATCTGCAAGCCCAATAGACTCTGTGGTTTTGACCACAGTGCCACCCCGTGTCCTCTAAATAAATGATATGCTTTCTTAATAGGGAAAACAAGGCCAAAGTGTCACTTGTCGCTTTGGTGGCAATTATTATCGGATGAGTTTGGAATCTGGCACATTCTCAGACCTCATGTGAACATCGGGTAGTTCACATACGCCGCATTTCGTGTCATTAGCCCAACTAATGTCGTTTTTGTAAACTGCAGAATCTTACAAGGCTTTTCCATGACGTAGCCTTGCTTTTACCGCTTGCCTTAACAATACTTATGGTCCATTGTCGTTTCCCCACTTCTTGGGGGCTCGGGATGGGAGAGTCCCACATGAAAGACAATGCTATCTTAGAGCTCTTTGTTCCATCCCATGAAAAGCACCCTCTATGCTAAACCGGGAGTTTTCTGCTACTGATCTGCTTGAGTTGTATAATGGCTGTGACAGTTTCCTCTGAGTGTGATAGGCGGGAAGGGGGGTGGCGCTGAGAGATGCCACCAAGCCAAGTTGAGTACTTCTGGCACCCTGCCCATGGTTTGGATGAAGAGAGGCTTTTGTATGCTCAAGAGTATGCCTGCCATTGAGCAGAGGTCTATTATAATTCTGCAGTGCTCCTTAGAAGGCGAGTCTTTTCCCAAACTTGCAACTACATGCTTGAGCAAGGGAGATTTTTTAAAAAATATATAGTAATAGTAAAACTTCCTTTTCAGAGGAGTAGCCTAACTTCTGACATCTAC